CCAGCACAGCACATATGCTGCAGCCCTCTCTATCTGCTTTCATCTCTATTTCCTTCTCTCGCTCTCTGTCTCTGTCATTGTATCATGTAATTGACACTTGGTGACAGCTGGATATGAACTGGGGGTTTAGGGATTTAAAAAAATACCCTGATCATATCTTGGGGAGGGAGAGAGACAGCAGGATAGGAATTAAAAAATATTTTCCTCACATAAAAAAATACACAAACAGGATGAGAATCCCAGGGAGGCAGCTTCCTGTTTGCTGCAGAAAACATATCTGAATGCATCCTAGACCACCATGGAGGGCCTGGAAACATCATCATCACCACATGCTACTGCTGCCGTTACCCACAGGCCCACTGGTGCTACATGACAGGGCTCTCCTTTCAAACAGACGTCCCACAAGGTCACTTAACGTGCCATTTCCAGTGGCAACTGTTGCTGCTGCTACAGTGCTATTACTTAGGACAAGGAGGGTCAGAGTTGAGATCAGCTGCATGGGTGGGCGCTAAATAGGCAGCAAAAGGCTCTGTTGTAGCCTACTGTACATCTAATATGTACAGTAGATATTCTGCAAGTTTTAGGGGACATAGGGTGCAGTTTGTTTTGATGGCTGTCAGTTCTATGACCCTCAGAGTGGACACATCTTGCCCCTTGATTAGACCACATTACTCTGCAGTACAAGACTTAGTTAGATATACGTGGAATCTGGGGTCTGATTGAAAAAACAAGGCAGAATTTGCCAAGATGCAGGGAAATAGTCATTCTTGGCACCTCACCGTTTGGAATCTGGTACGCACATTTGCTTCCAGGACTTCGACAGAGGTTCCAGCTTCAGACTTATGGCATGATTCAGACAGTTTGAATACTGCAGGAATTATTTTTTTTCTCATGTCCTTGTTTGTATTCTGTAAACAAAAGTCAACAGAGCTGAACTTTGATCTTAACTTGAGGTGGCAGAGATGTGGACATCACCTGGTCTTATGATCATTTGTTTTTATTGCGTCATCTTTCCGCTCTGCTCAATCTGTAAACAAGACTGAGTCTACAGCCATGCCAACAGCTGTGAGGCTATAAATAGACACAGCAGTGCTATGAGATAAATGCTAACATCAGCATGCTAATATGCTCACAGTGAATGCTTACGGTGCCTTTGTGTTTGCACTGGGAAGGTGGAATATCAGATTTCCCAATCTGAAATTTTAACTGGAATGCCCCCTGACTCAGACAGTCAGAGCAACCTCACCAACCCTGACCTCAAAATCCAATGAGGCTGCGCCGCGCATCAATGGTAGTGAAAGCTGTAGTAATATACTGTTTATTAGCGTGTCTGTCTTGTTGGTGTCTCATCAGAACAGTCATACCCACAGTCCTGACCAACTTATATCAGTGGATATGTTGCTACACGGTGGTGTAGTGGATGGTATACGTGGGTATACAGGGTATACCCTTCTCTTTCTCTGGCTGTTTATAGTATACCCACCTATCAGTCAAAAAGCCATTGAAATACATAGGAGAGTATACCTACTTCCTGTTTGATAACCTACCCATCTACCTACTAATACACTCATCTCGTTAACTGCATCACTGTTGCTTGCACAAAATACAGAGTCATTCATTGTTATCAAGTGGTATTGCGAGCCCGGTCTCACTCCTTGAAATCCGCCGCATGTGGTGTCCAACACCAACGACAATAGGAGGGCTGGAGCGTTGGTGGATGGGTCCAACAAACACTAACTTTCACCCAAGAGAGTGGTGTTCATGTCCCGTAAGACTCTAAAGCCAAACCCTGTTCTTTTTTCCTAAACCTAACCACTTCCTTTTGTTGCCGAAAGCCAACCATGTGTGTTTGTTGTTGAAGGAAAAAAATCTCAATTTGCGGTGTTGGACTGACATAGTGTGTTTATTTTGACAGACTGTATTTAAACTTCAGATTTCCTGTGAAAATGGAAGTGTATCTCAAAAGAAGAGAACTTGACACATGTCCCAGAACATCAACAAACAACGCACCCCGGGTACTTTGCACGTCATATGTGGACGTGGAAAGTCAATGACCAAAACGTCAATATGTGACAAAGTCGGAGTGAGAATGTGTTGGAATTGCTAACGCTTGCTAATCTGGCTTGTCCTGGTATTGCTAACAGCATCTTGGTTTTCCGACTTCTTGCACTGGAACGCGATCAACTCAGTGTGACATCATTACTAGCTCCAACCTCCGACCTTCAAGGTAAATGGAACGCAGGATTACATACTGATGTTCCGCAGGTTTAATGGTTACTATGTTCACCACCTTAGCTGAGCATGTTAGCATGCAAAAATTGGCTAACTGGCACAAACCACAAAGTACAGCTGCATGTTATTACTTTAAATCAAAATATTGGGCAAATTCAAACTTGATCTGATGATGGTAGTAGATGAAAAGCTGGGGTCACCAAAGCTATTACAATGTATGTAAACTGTAACATAAAATCTGCATCAAATTTCATGGCAATCCATCCAATAGTTGTTGAGATACTTCAGTCTGGAACAAATGGGTGAACAGAGAAACAGTCTGACATTGCCATCATTCATCATGGCTAAAAACGTATCTCCACTTTTGCTGAAAGAACATCACCTTCATCCTGTTTTGTGCCCAGCTGTAGATAAATCCTGCAAATTTCTTGCAAAGTTTGACCCAGTGGCACACGATTTAAAATGCAGAGCCAGGCAGAGGCCAAGGTTTTGTTTGTGTTAGAAATAACTGTGGTGATGCTTTATTGATGATAAAGGTCTAGATGTGGCACCTTTGATGGTGTTTGGTACACGTAGCAGAAGAGGTGGTAAGTCTTCGTCTATGTTATTAGCCCTTCTTCCACCTCATCTACCACTCCTGCTCTTATCTCTCCTCAGTCCATTTCTCCGCTGCCTGTCAGTGCTATTACAGTCTATTAAAAAAGGAATTTACACCCTCCACGCGGTGCTAACACATCCTCTGTACTGAAACAGGGTGTTGACAGGTTTTTGAGGTTCATTAACTTGGTGGACCCAAATACTTGCCAGTGTCTGAGGCCATGAAATCCCAACCAAATCAGCCTTAGTGAGAGGAATATTGCAGCTCAAGTATAAAGCCCAACGTTCATATCAGAGGCCGCTATTGAGATGTTCATTTAAAAATTATAATGCACACAGGAGATCGATAAATGCCCTACATTAGCAAGTGCTCCTGCTATTAAGTGCTTTTCTTAGAAGCATTTAATCATCCCACAACGTTAAGTGCCTCTTCGGTCAAAGTTTACTTTAAAAAAAAACTCACATCAAAAGGAAAGAGCTTTTCCCAGGAACAGACAAAGACCACAGACTTCCTCTGAAATCAGGGTCTTTTGTTGGGAAGAGGTTGTTTTTGTTGCAACTGCTGAAGATGTCGAGTTTTACTTTACACTCCTCTTTTATCTGATACCGCTTTAAAGGAAGATAGCAGATTTTATCAAGAAAACCGAGAGCAGTACCACCTCAGACATTTTTACCACCCAGATTTGGGCCTCGCAGCCCCCTGATGAGGTCGATTTCATGCCTCGTTCGGCCCGAGAATTTACAGCCTCCTTGGTTACAAGCTCCCTCTACTCTTGGATACAAGGAGCTTGTGTCTGTTTCTAGCATGTTGCCTTCTGCCTTGTGGGAGAGCAGATTATTCATTGTCTTTGTGTTGACACTGAAGCAGTCTTTGACCTTTTAATGCTAAAGCTTTCAACTTCCTGCCATTTGAAAACATGACAGGCGACGACCTCTGACCTCTCCTGTTCCCTCAGACACATGTGGAAGTCACTGGTAGCTGGTCTGAATGTGATTGAGACCTGATTGAGACATATATGATGGCTCCAACACAGCTTTGAAATTCTTGAGTGTGCAGCATCTGGTCTGTTCTTGATCTCTTTTAAGGGCGCTTTCACACCTAACCTGTTTGGTTCAGTTCATTTTGACTCATGTGAATGCTGTCGCCTGAACTCTGACTCAAATAAAACAACCACATCAAGACAGCTTGAAATTAGGGTTGTCGCTTTTCAAACATGTAATTCATCTGCACACCAGATCACATCACTTTAGCATGAATTCATAAGCTAAACTACTATTATATTTACTCGCCACCTGATTTAAAATCCATCACATCCCTGGATTCATTTTCCGCACTGCGCATGCACGTCACAGAACAGCAAGTTAGTTTGGAAGTTGAAAATGCTTACCATACATTTAGCAGCTGGGAATATTCCCAGTCATTGTTGTTGACAAGATCATTGTTGTTCCATGTGGTGGTACTAAGACTCTTATCACTGTGAAAAATACGTCCTCAAACCTCCTGAAACACCTACTATGACTAAAAGCGCAACAATAGAAAACTCATGGAGGTACACTGCACCAAAGGTGAGCCCTCCTCAGACATGGATGATGATTACGTAGCCTTCCACTGGTCAAACAACCAAAGCTGGACTCTATAGTAGACAGCTGCACGCTACAAGCAACAAAGAGCTAATGAAGCTTGTGGTGGATGAAATGTTGCTTATCTCCATGGTTGATTGTTTGATCAATAAAATGTGAGAAAATAATTTTAAAAAGCAAACTTTCATTGTCTTAATTTCCTTAGCCGAAGTGTTTTGTCCAATCAGCAGTTTAATACCTGTAGATATTTGGTTTACTGTCAGATAAAAGTACATGTTAAAGAAAAGCATAAAATGTTTAGAATGTTTACAGGCGTTTTTGCTACTGCCACGATGAATCAACTGTCAGAATAGATGCCAATTCTGTCAACTGATCATTTCAGGTCTTGTTTAAATTTCCCCAGTGAGTCAGTGTAATGCTGATGATGCACAGTGACAGTCCCCAACACTGTCCAATGAATGATTTACCCGTCAGTCATTTGAGCTCATGTTTACTGTTTTGAAATAAGTCACTCAGGAATGCATCTTTTTCTTGTCTTGACTGAGTCACCTGAATTAAAAGTGTGAAAGCAAAGTACATGTCAGACTTACTATGACAGACAGAGTCTCTGTTCGGTGTGCACGTAGCCAGCTGTATCTCACTCTCCTCATCACAGATGGTGCAGGGCAGGCAGGGGTCGAGGGAGCTTTCCCGGTCAGAGAAAGTATCGTCCACGCACTCCTCACACACTGTGTCGTGATTGTGTTCACAGTGTGCAAACACGCCTTGACCCACCGGGCACACCGTACACGGCTCGCACTGGCCGGATATCGTGTCGAAGAAGAAGTTGTAGTTGCAGACGCAGATGGCGTCGTTGGAGTCGGTGCAGGGCGTCTCCATCCGCATCAGGCCGATACACTCAGTGCAGGGCTTGCACTGCTCTGTGAGACTGTAGTTCTCTGAGAAGGTCTCACCTGCAGGTGAGAGGACAGGTCGAAGGAGACAAGACAGAAAAGTGAGACAAAAGAAACGAGGGAAGCGGCAAAGAGCAAAGGAGGTTAGAAGATGGAGTGAGAGCAGGAAATATGAGGAGGTAAACAAAAGGATAAACAGTGGGTCTAATGACATTAATCATGTTTACTGCACATTCATTAGAAGGGAGGACACATTGATCCACTGGGCTCTTAGTGATTTGTGCTCCGGGACAAGAAAGGTGCTCTTGTTGGGGAGCGAGTCAAAAGCCTGCTGTGCTCATTACGATATCGATCTCAATGTGTTTGTGCTGCGCTGAGTAAACTGCTTTAATCTCAGTCATACACACAGAGTAAAGTGCAGGTGCACTGACATGCTTACACTGATGCAAGGATGATAAAGACTTGTATTTAGTATACCCGAGTGATCAAGCTATCACTCTGGTATATGTAAAGGCCTTGGAGAGTGTTAACCATTCTGCCAAAATGAGGCATTTCTGAGATGCTGGAATAAAATTTGTGGACATGTTTTACCAATATTTCATCTAAATTACAATTTTGGACTTTGTGCTTATAATTTAAATTAAAATTGGTTTTATTTATTAAATATATTGTCTTCCTGAATCTACTGCTTTAGAGCCATTCATACAAAAGAGAAATATTTAGTATTGTTTACTTTGCTAAAAATAACTAGGTCTATAGTTCTTATGTAGAATATTTAATTAGGACCAAAGAACAATCTCAAATAGATCTTGCTTCTGATTGGTTAATGCCTATGATTGTGCTTGTCAGCCAGTTTAGATGACACTAAGGAGCCTGTAGGACACACTAGTGTTTGAGTTTGCATAACCTCTTTGTTTATTGTGTTTCTATGTTTCTTTTTTTAAAGTTTCGAAAAATAAACTTTGATATATTAATTGGCTACACTCAGTCAAAATGTCAGTTAGCATCATTATTAGCATTAGCAAGTAGCAGGGTTTCCCTAACAGATGCGTGTGAATAAATAAAGACTGAGACTCGACAGTGTTGCTAGCAGTTTAGTGAGGCTGTACTGAAATGCTAATATTAGCATGCTCACAGTGCATTCTGATGTCTGGCAGGTATTATGTTTATCGTTTCCACTATCTTAGTTTAGCGTGTTAGCATGCTAACATCTGCTAATTACCATAAAACACAAAGTTCTCCTGTAGATCAACTTTTCTCTTTTAATATTATCCCTGCTGAGTCAACAGACATGTAGGCATGATTTACTTTCCCATCCTCTTTTGTGTCTTTTGTTTGAGGAAGTAGCCTCTTAAAACCAGCGTGTGGCACTGATTTACAGTATATCGGTAGTATATTAATTTATTTATAAATCCCTGGACTTTAATAGCTCATGTGTTTCCGCAAGATTTTTGCTGATGTTAAAAACTTTATGCACATTCAAAACATGTCACACATATCTGTGCATTATGCTGCTCTTCTTTGGAGGTGGACTACTGAAACTAACTGAAACACTTAGGAGATCATCCCTTACTGGATCAATATGAGACACGATTTATCCTGTATTTTTGTGCACAGAGCTGTTAAAATGATAATAATTGACTCAAATACAAGTAGGGACAATTCTGTCATCCCAAAATAGTGGTAGGAACATGTCCTTACCATCCATGTGCCAACCTACATCCCTGTCATGGACATAGTTGTGAACATTCTGTATTAACCACATGCTCCTACACTTGGCTATACTTCAGACAAGACTAAGCTTATGCTGTTCTCTAATTCTAGGAAGAGGCCACAAATTATCCCCTCAGTGACCACTCTCGAGGGAAATGAAATAGAGGTGGTTCACGAGTATAAATACCTGGGTGTTTTGATTGATGCCTCCCTCACTTTCAAGCCGAATATAGAGAAATTAGTGAAGAAGCTGAGGATAAAATTGGGTTTTTACTTTCGAAATAAGCTATGTTTTTCTTTTAATGCAAAAAAGCGACTTGTTGCTGCTACCTTTTTACCAGTTTTGGATTATGGAGATCTTTTATATATGAATGCGTCTGCTAAATGTCTTCATATGGTTGACACTGTCTACCACGCTTCTCTGAGGTTCATTACTAATTGTAAACCATTGACACACCACTGTGAATTATACTCTCAGGTTGGATGGGCTGCTCTGGCCACCCGAAGGCTCAGTCACTGGTATACTTTTATATATAAGGCATTACTTGGTCTACTGCCTTCCTACATTTGTTCCTTAATTGCACAGAGAAGTGCTGGTCCTTACTCCTTTCGTTCGCAAGACTACTTGTTGCTTTCTGTTCCATATGCCCGTACTGAATTGGGTAAATAGGCTTTTGTCTACTCTGCACCTTCAGCATGGAATATGTTGCAAAATGACTGGAAACTAACAGGGTTAATTTCTTTGAGCGCCTTTAAATTCAAACTAAGAATACTTGAGGCCGACTCCACTACATGTATTTGTTTTTCATAATCTGCTTGTAAATTCAATACTATTTGTTTGTGTTTTATCTGTGTAATTTGTAACTGTGCTTCATACTTGCTGCTGCCTATCTTGGCCAGGTCTCCCTTGAAAAAGAGGTTGTTAATCTCAATGGGATCTTCCTGGTTAAATAAAGGTTAATAATAATAATAATAATAACTTCAGGTATGATACTGTATATATACATTAATATGCAACCGACCTGTTTTTGCATTGTAAATGTCACCTTATACTTTTAGATGTGCCCTCTTACTCTTCCCACTATGTATTGCCACTGTTGCACAGCAGCTTCCCTCGGTATTAATGAAGTTTTAGCGTATCTTATCTCATTGAACAAATTTAAACTTAGACCTGACGGTGGCACTAGATGAAAAATCAGGGCATCACCAAAGTTATTCAACTTCAGCATCCGGCAATGATGAATGTCTGCACACAGTTTCCTTGAATCCATCACGTAGTTGTTGAGATATAACAGTCAGGACCAAAGTGTCGGACCAATGACATTAGTTATGGTTTGTGTCAAACATTTGCTCAATCCTTGACAGGGTTTGGACAAATGTTATGTAGCAAATTGACTGTGTCCTCCTCCTGGAAGGATGTAAAAAAAAAAAAAAAAAAAAAAGACTGCCTTTTAATCAGTGTATGTGTCCAGAAGATGCCGATTTCACAAAACAACTTCACTGCATGATATTGATTTTGTTTAAAGGTTGTGAGCACGAGAGATAGCAGACCACAGCTGAGTTGCGGAGAACAGTGCCGAACAGAATGAGGTAAAAGCCATGCTGACTAATTGCCTTCTGCTTTTCAATTACTTCAAACACTTCAGATTTGCTCTCCAGGAACGTTTGCATCAGGAGGATTTAGGAGAGTTCATCGCTGAGGAAGTGATGACCTCGAATTAGCTTAGTCTTACACTGAGAGTTCCTAGGGGCTCAAAGTAATCTATTAATATTGCATGTTCATATAGAATTATTTTCAGATATAATTGGATGCCTGCTGAATTATGCATACAGTGAGGGAGAGGAGGGGGGCTGTGAGTGTGTTTTAGTGGTTGAATGAGATGGGAGTGGAGTAGAGAGGCTGACAGGGAAATAAATCTACGGCTCAGATTCACTACAGAGGCAGCTTCACTGTTTTCCAAATCCCATTTTACGTCTTTTTTTGTGGCGTGCTTAATATGAGAGCGGTCACCTTGCAAGAGCTGCAGTTCAGACAGAAACGACACAGTGTGTGCCGTTCCTCTCCCAACAGAGGGGCGGCAAAGTGCTGCAGGAAGTTTTGCATCCATCCAGTCAGCATCACAATATGAGATGATGAGACAAGAATGCATGTTGAAACAGCCTTGTAAATTGTTCACTGACACAATGCAGCATGTTGCAAGTTACCACTGGTTTAACATCTCCGTAGGGATGATAAAGGCTCTTTCTCTTACAGTGAAACAAATCCTTTGGGGTGGGTGTGACTGTAAATAAAGTCTCATAGCTGTAAAGATGTGTTAGACTTCTTTGCGCAACTCTTATCAGCGTATGTCTGAGTGTGTGTGTGTGTGCACGCGTCTACGTTTCTCTGTGTGTGTGTTTTTCATGGGAAGTGCTTAGTGGGTATCGTGTTGAGCAACAGCATATTGTCAGTGTGAAAAGCCCTACAGCAATGTCCCAGCACTTGCTTTGCGTTGTAAGCGGCTCTGGCAAGTAAACGCTGGCACAGACTGAAGCTCTAAACACCTTGTAAACAGCAGCGCGGCTAAGAAGCCTACGATGAAAGCTGTCACATTATACAGGCGGACTGAGCGGAGCAGACGGCGGTAATGTGGAGACAGGTAAAGGGTAGGCAGGAAGACGGATCAGAGTGGTCGCTCGATTTGCTCCAGTGCATCTCGGGACTGTTTGAGGGTGGTCTGGTGAGCGAGACGTTCAATCCAAGTCTAGGAAACATGATTTAGAGATCAAAGTGTTGATGTACAACTGGAAGGGGAAGGGTCAGGGGAAATGGGGCAGTCGGGGATGTAAGTGAGTTCAGTTTCCTTCTCGGAAAGACACACACCATCAGACACAATGTTTTTCTTCTCTATCTGTCTTCACCTCTCGCTCTTATTACTGTCTGGAGGCAGAAGTGATAGAAGAGAGTGACACTGGCTGAACCCGGGACAAATAACAGACCTCGGAGGTAAACGATTATTTGAATTTGTGAGCTTGAGGCCTTTGTTGTTCTTTGCAGTCAGGCTCAACTGGGCAAAGCTCTCCTCATTCATTTCAATTATCCCACAGCGCGCAGGCTAATTTTACCTTGCATGCATGAGCCCCTTTCCAACCCTTGTGTGTGTAAACACATCTAAATGTGACCATATGCACTGCAGAGAGTGTGTGTGGGTGTGTGTGTGTGTGTGTGTGTGTGTGTGTGTGTGTGTCTAATTTATGTGTCAGCACTTTCATTTAGAGCTAAAAGAAGAAAGTAAAAGGCCAACGAGAATCAGGTAGAGAGTGTCGTCTTTAATAAAATATGATCCTTTTTTTAATTGCCCCCAGTT